GAACATTTGGATGTTGTCATCTGAACTGTGATGTTGGCACACTTAAGGGAGTGAGCAAATGATGGTGAATGTGTTTCTTCTCTTGTGGGTCAGCTTACCTTGGTGGTAGACAGCCAGTGTGTAAATTCTTACCAGAAATAAAACAGCTATTGAATGAGTAATGGTGATTTTTTTTGGGGGGGGTCACACTGCCTTGGTGGGCAAGATTCAGTATTTTGAAATACATAATTAATAATAAATTTAATATAATAGTTCTTTGTCAACATGATAAAAAAATATTTTGAGTGTATCGTCTTACTTTTTGGTGCTTCGAACCTGATGCTTAAGTCTGGCGTTCCATCGTTTGTTATGTTGCACAGTGTGTATTTTATAATTTTGATTTCTTTGCACTTTTGATTAAATACAAAAGAAGATGAATGTAACCCATTTGCACCTACACACTTTTATTAACCTGTTGTGTGCTGTGGTGTTCCAAGGGGGCCAGAGCAACAGATGGCCTCATCACCTCTAGATGAGTAAGAGTTGATTTGTCTCCTCGAAGATTAATATTATGGATTGATTACCTCTCCATCTTGAAATTGTTAATAATCAGTTTTCTCAATGCCTAAAATACAGTAAATCTTCCATTTAGCGCACTTGAGAAATACAGAAGAAAATTCGCTTGGTTAGTCAACTTATAAACAGTGGGTGTGAATAAATAGTTTAGCAAATCGACAAGTTGATAAATGAGAGACTTGTGCAACATTGGGGTATCTTTATTTTGCGAACGTTTTGCCATGCATTGACTTCTTCAGTCCAGTGTAGAGAAAGGTGGAAGATGAGGAGTTTGTGGTAACCAGTCTCTCAGCCTGGAGTTGATGTGTTCAGTCCAAGATTGATGGACTGAACACATCGACTCCAGGCTGAGAGACAGATTGCCTCAAACTCCCCCTCATCTTCCACCTTTCTCTACACTGGACTGAAGAAGTCAATGCATGGCAAAACGTTCCCAAAATAAAGATACCCCAAAGTTTCACAAGCTTCTTATCAACACCGGACAAAATCCATTGTCTGCCGAACTCTCTCTTGTTGCCGTCACTGCCAAGCGATCTCATCTCTATCTCCTACAATCATTTCTACCATCCACCATCCCTTCATTCATTAAATTGAAGATTTACTGTATCAATAATTCAGTGTCTTCCACAGGATTGTTAATGAATTAATCAACTCGTAAAATTATTAATAATTGATGGCCTTCCACCTTGATGTTGTTAATAATCAATCCAGCATAGGATATATTAGTAATGCCTCATCATATTGGATTCAAACTTTCATTGCTGGTGTGCCCTGCTTAGAATAATTTTTATATTAACTTAATTTGCTCTTTTGTAAAGCACTTTAATAGTAACAGATTTGTTCTAAATAAATTTCATCTACAGTAAGCTTACCTGTAAAGTTTTTCATGACTTTAGATCTTAGTTATGATTATAATAATTATAATAATAATTATAATAATTATAATAATTATAATAATAATTATAATAATTGTAAAACTTTTTTCGATTTTAGACAATTTTTTTTGTAAGTATAATTAAAAAATTGCATCCAAAATCGAATAGCGTTTACTGTGAAGACGTTTTTGTGTTCTTACGAATTTTGGGTGATTTTTTATTATATATTACAAAAGTTTGCATTATGTAGAGGAGGTTTTGCTATTGTAATTGACAAAGAGGAGGAGGAAGAGTCTTAGATCCTCTTTGATCCCTTAGAAATACCCTTCAGGGAGGGTTCAATCCCCTTCAATGCTCTACAGAGAAGTTTTGGGGTGTTGGAACCCCTTCTGCTAGCTTAAATCCACCTTGATGATACTTTTCAAGGGAATAAAGGAGTTTGTAAATCCCTTTCTAGTAGCTTGACTACTTAGTAATCTCATCTAAGGTGTAAGGAGGGATTTACAATCCTTTCTGCTAGTCTGTTCCCTTGATGACACACTTCAAGTGGTTCAGAAAGGGATTACAATTGTGTATCTGTAACCTGTACCCTGGTGACACTTTCTAAGGGGCTCAGGAAGGGTTTACGAGCACTTTCCACCGGCCTGACCCCTTGGTTCCACCCTCGGCACACCACTCACCACTTTATGCTTAAGCTGCTTCACTTAACACTTGCACTTTATAAGTCTTCTTCAGCTCGTGGCTTCAGGAATTTTGGTTACCTAATCTTCTTTAAAAAAAAAAAAAGAATGGCTAGATCAGAGTTTTGTAAAAAAATGTTGATTGTTTGAAATGTTTGATCCAGATGTTTAATGTTCCATTAATATTATACTGTAGTAGTTAGTGTTACAAAAATGTTAATGTTTGGTGTTTATTTGATATTAATGTTAGACTAGTTTAGCCTAAAGATTTTTATCAATTTATTTGTACCCTTTTTTGTGGTTTTAAGCCCATCAAATCCTCTATATTTACAATACGTATATATGTAGAGCAAGGGGACAATTATTAATTTAATGGTATGGCCAACTTGCTTTGAAAATGGAGAACTAAAATTAATAATGGTTATAATTACTGTTTAACTTTAACTTTTAAAGGGGTAGAGGGGTAAGCCAGCGGAAGGCTTCGGTCAGATGACCAAAAGCTCCAGTGGTGGGTCATTATATGACTGAGATCCATGTCAGGAAATATTTGTCCTGTTTCCTGACAAATCTTACCTAAACAAAAATAAAAAAAAAGATTACGATGGCAAAACATGTTTGGAACACGTATAGCAGCAAACCGTCCTCACACCACTCACCGAGAATGTGTTTTTTGGCTGTCTGACCCCTTTGTGTCACTGCTTGTCGATGGCTTCAACCATCTGTACACAGACTTCTCTTCCAGATATTTCCCACTGTTTACGATAATTTGCTCAATGAATAAGAAACGTGTGCAACACTTGGGTATCTTTATGGAAATGTGGCTTCCTTGGTCCAGCACAGAGAAGATCAGGAGGAGTTTGGGGTAATTAGTCCCTCAGCCTGTGGTCGATGTAATCAGTCCATCAATCTTGATAAGATTGATGGACTGATCACATCAGAAGCAGTATTAGGTAATCAGTCCCTCAGCCTGAAATCAAATTAATCAGTCCATCTCATCAAGATTAATGGAATGGTCACAGCAACTCCAGGCTGAGGGACTGATTACTTCAAACTCCTCCTCTTCCATTATTCTTCTCTACATTGGACTGAGAAAGCCACTGGTTAACACACTCAAGTGCTGTGCAAGTGTCTTATTTATCATTCTGTCAGTTCTCTGACTCATTTATCTTCAGTAATTTGCTTACTGACAGATAACTACAAAAATGCAATACAACCAGAGTGAAATGCAGTGGTATTCCAGATGCTTATGCGATCTCTCACATTAATGCCAGAGAGAACAAGAGCACTTGCAATATTGCCACTTATCACTGTGGCTATGTTGCATGTTATGATATCACCTGTTTATTGTGATTTTATTGCAGTTGTATAACTATATTACATAGGTGTTGTTAAACAAAAGACAGTCTAGCCTAATGTAACATAATCAAACATAGTATAACTTAACGTAACCTGACTTAATGTAACTTGACTTAATCTAACCTGACTTAATGTAACCTGACTTAACCTAACTTAATGTAATCCAGTTTACCTAGAGTTTACCTGGAGAGAGTTCCAGGGGTCAACGCCCCCGCGGCCCGGTCTGTGACCAGGCCTCCAGTGGAGACAAATCATGTATAGCTGACATTAGGTGAAGATCTCAGTGAAGTTCTTCACTGCGACTGTCACATCTCCACCACCTCGCCAGTGTAACCTAAGTCTAAGACGACAGTGAAAGTGGTGTGACGATGGTTGTGCTGCTATTGTTGCTATAGCTCCAGGCAGACCAGCTCCACTCTGTGGCAAACCAAACCGTTCTCCAAAATTTTTGAGACATTATCATTCGCAGAGTAAATACAGGTTTGCCGTACATCGTTCTCCATGGACGTTTAACTTAGAAAAGAGATATTTTGGAGCATTTAAGTCTTTTTTTTTTCTTTGTTCTACAAATTCAGGATTTTAGTTTCCAGATAATAAGGTTAAAGATCTAGACCATATAGAACATTGTACAGGAGGACCCTGTATATAGAGCGTCTTATTTTCAGTGTTCCACATTTTTCGTTGGCCTTCAAATGAGTCATTGTTCCACTGGTGACTCACCGGTGGGTGCAACATAATGAGCAATGGCTCAGTTTGAGGCCAAGAAAAAAGTGGAACACTGAAGAGAAGACTGTATATGCAGGGCCTTGCTGTATATGTGGGGCCGTCTTGTATTAGTCTCCACCGTAACCCACAATGTAAACCGCCTCTTACAAATGTTTCCCGTCCTCCCCAAACAACACCATCGTAAATATGGATGTTAAAAGAACTGAGCAAGGAGCCAAGAGCCGCTCTTTGAAATGAATGTGCAATGGTAATAAGTAGCATGATGTACCCTGTGAGGACTGTGTACCATAATGTACCTGGCAAGTTACTTGGCTGTCATCTATGGTATGAGAGATGTTGAACCTGCATGTGTCGTGGTACCATTTCTGTGTTGTGGTACCATTTCTGTGTTATGGCTTGGCCTTTGTAGTTGTAATGGCTATACAGGCGCTGTTATGGCTGATACTGACATGGCTAGAACACGTTTGTCTTGATGTATGAAAGGTATGGCTAGTATTGATGTCTGAGAGATGTGGCTAGATGTTGCTATACTGAACGTGTAGTCGAGAGAAAAAAGCTTTTAACATATTCAGCTTATAACATTTAATTGCTCTGCTAAGAATTGCCTTCACTGATTTACATTAATTTGGTATAATTCCATATCACAATTTTTTGCTCCTTTGAGTTTTATATAAAGTCAAATTAAATCTTCAAAAAAACATGCAAGTTAGCTTGTAATTGGTCGATTATAATTAGCGGTGGCTTGTGTGCGTTTTTTTAATGTACATCTCCTGGTCCTCCCCCCCTCACACCACCCTGGGTACCCCAGACAAGCTGGACGGCTCGTTCAGTCGTTCTCGTTCCTCTAGCATCAGCAGCCTGGAGAACATCAGCAGCGAGGCCATCCAGTGCTTGTCTTTCGTTGATTCTTATACTAGAAAAAATGGTAAGTTCTCATTTGGTTATTTCAGTTGTCTCATTATTAAAGATATTTCAGTTACGTCTCTCATCATTTAAACTTTCATGTGTCTTATTTAAAGTTGCCTCATCTCATTTCATGTCTCATTTAAATATGTACAACACAACTCAAATGTATTCCCACATGGTACATTGTGTATGCAGAGATGTGAAATACAGTGGTACCTCGGGATATAAACATAGTTTGTTCCAGAAGGCTGTTTGAGTGCCGTTACCAAACGAATTTGTTCCCATAAGGAATAATGTAAATTTGATTAATCCATTTCAGACCCCCAAAAATACACTTACAAAAGCACTTACATAAATTCTTCTTTCAACGTACCAGCCGTATCCCACCGAGGTGGGGTGGCCCAAGAGAAAAAACTGAAGTTTCTCCTTTTAAATTTAGTAATATATACAGGAGAAGGGGTTACTAGCCCCTTGCTCCCGGCATTTTAGTCGCCTCTTACAACACGCATGGCTTACAGAGGAAGAATTCTGTTCCACTTCCCCATGGAGAACTTACATAAATACACTTACATAATTGTTTGAGTTTTAAGCTGTTCATATCCCGAGATACCACTGTACTCGTATACTTAGTGAAAGTCCATAGTTATACAAAGCACTTAAGAGTACTGTACTTTGATTATATTATTATTATTATTATTGCAAGGCCAGAAATGTGCTGCATGTTATTGGCTCGGTTTTTTGCTTAATATTATATTACGTGTAAACTACGTATCGACAAATTAGACAAGTGTTGCACTTGTGTTTAATTTGTCAACTTGTTGGTTCTCTGAACCATTCATCTACAAAATACGTATTGTTGAAAATTGTATATAATACCGACAAATTGAAGATTAAGACGCATGTGCAAGAGTATCTTTATTGATGAAATATTTTGCCCACACAGTAGTCTTCTTTAGTCAAACAGAGGCAGCAGTAGTAATGAAATAAAGATGATGTAATCAGTCCATCAACCTTGGAGAAAACGTATTTGACGTGGTCAGTCCCTCAGCCTGGAGAAGAGTTCAGCTCCATGGTCTGGAACAAGGTGGTCAGTCCCTCAGCCTGGAGAAGAGTTCAGCTCCATGGTCTGGAACAAGGTGGTCAGTCCCTCAGCCTGGAGAAGAGTTCAGCTCCATGGTCTGGAACAAGGTGGTCAGTCCCTCAGCCTGGAGAAGAGCTCAGCTCTATGGTCTGGAACAAGGTGGTCAGTCCCTCAGCCTGGAGAAGAGTTCAGCACCATGGTCTGGAACAAGGTGGTAAGTCCCTCAGCCTGGAGAAGAGTTCAGCTCCATGGTCTGGAACAAGGTGGTCAGTCCCTCAGCCTGGAGAAGAGTTCAGCTCCATGGTCTGGAACAAGGTGGTCAGTCCCTCAGCCTGGAGAAGAGTTCAGGTCCATGGTCTGGAACAAGGTGGTCAGTCCCTCAGCCTGGAGAAGAGTTCAGCTCCATGGTCTGGAACAAGGTGATCAGTCCCTCAGCCTGGAGAAGAATCCAGCTCCATGGTCTGGAACAAGGTGGTCAGTCCCTCAGCCTGGAGAAGAATCCAGCTCCATGGTCTGGAACAAGGTGGTCAGTCCCTCAGCCTGGAGAAGAATCCAGCTCCATGGACTGGAACAAGGTGGTCAGTCCCTCTGCCTGAGAAGAATCCAGCTCCATGGTCTGGAACAAGGTGGTCAGTCCCTCAGCCTGGAGAAGAATCCAGCTCCATGGACTGGAACAAGGTGGTCAGTCCCTCTGCCTGGAGAAGAATCCAGCTCCATGGTCTGGAACAAGGTGGTCAGTCCCTCAGCCTGGAGAAGAATCCAGCTCCATGGACTGGAACAAGGTGGTCAGTCCCTCAGCCTGGAGAAGAATCCAGCTCCATGGTCTGGAACACGGTGGTCAGTCCCTCAGCCTGGAGAAGAATCCAGCTCCATGGACTGGAACAAGGTGATCAGTCCCTCAGCCTGGAGAAGAATCCAGCTCCATGGTCTGGAACAAGGTGGTCAGTCCGTCAGCCTGGAGAAGAGTTTCAGCTCCATGGTCTGGAACAAGGTGATCAGTCCCTCAGCCTGGAGAAGAGCTCAGCTCCATGGTCTGGAACAAGGTGGTCAGTCCGTCAGCCTGGAGAAGAGTTCAGCTCCATGGTCTGGAACAATATGAAGGTTGATGGACTGATTAAATCTTCATATCATTACTACTGCTCCCTCTGTATTTGAGTGAAGAAGTCTACTGTGTAAACGAAACGTTTTATCAGTATAGATACCCAACTGTTGCACATGTGTCTTAGTCTTCAAACTACATTTTGTATACTACACAAGGAAATAAAATATTGGTTTGTTATCGGTCTTACTTAGAGGTCTTATTTCTCAGTCGAGTGATAGAATGATTGAGGATCACCTACATAAATAAATAAATAATAAAATTTTATTTTTTTGCTAAGATTACAATGTGTGTTTACATTTCATAATTTGATTGGAACAAAGAAAGCCACTATCATGCTGGGGCATTTCCGGCAGACTTAACCTAATACATGGGTGGGAGATGGCCAGTGTGATAAAAAGAGAAATTCTCAAGGCACAGCGTACAGTGGATCCCCACCTTACGATATTATTTCATTCCAGAAGTCTGTTCCAGTGCCGTTACTGACCGAATTATTGTGAATTAGATTAGTCCGTTTCAGACCCCCAAAAATACACTTACAAAAGCACTTACAAAAATACACTTACATAATTGTTCGAGTTGGGAGCTGATCGTAAGGCAGGGGTCCACTGTATTGGTCTGTGTGGAACACACGAACATATCTCGCTAATACGGCGGGTCGGATTCCAGACTGCTGCTGTAAAGCCAATATTGCCTTAATATGTGATTACATTTCATAATTTGATTGAAAATAAAAAAAAAATGTTATATCCTTGCAAAGCTTATGATGTGTGGTTTACATATTATAAAATACAGTGGACCCCCGGTTTATGATCAGCTCCCAATGTGACCAATTATGTAAGTGTATTTATGTAAGTATGTTTGTATGTGTATGTTTGGGGGTCTGAAATGGACTAATCTAATTCACAATATTCCTTATAGGAACAAATTCGTTCAGTACTGGCACCTGAACATACTTCTGGAATGAAATAATATCGTAAACCGGGGGTTCCACTGGATTACAAAGAAAGCAGCCACCAGCATACTTAAGCATTTTGGGCAGACTAATAATAATTCTTACTCTGTATTGGCACAGGTTATGGAACAGTACATTATAATATACATTATTACATATTAATCTAACAGTTGGTACAAAGAAAGCCACTATCTTGCTGGGGCATTTCAGGCAGACTTATAAACGCTACTTAAGTGTAGACAGGTAAAGAGAGGTAAATTTCAAATATTAACTATTTTACTCTGTTACTGCTAATAGGTAGCCAAATGTTTTTAGTTAGTAAGCTTTATAGTTTAATGTAGACGTAACTGATAACAATATTACAAGTACAGGTTGGTTGTCACTAATCTGGCAATCAGTAATTCAGTTCCATCAGTAATCCAGCACTAATTTTGGCTAGCATAATTTCAAATTTCCAGGGTCGCCACACCAACCTGCCGCTACTGTTTGGTGGTGCTACTTGCTGCATAAGTCATTCCAGCTTCTTTTTCTCCATTTATTGTTATAACTTTTTCACTTCTAGCCCTAGTCATGGTTCCAAAGAATAAAATACACCTACCATCTGACTTACAACTGAGTTCGGTTCCGAGAAACCAGTCGTAAGTCGAACTTTACTACTGAATATATCTGGAGAGTTTATCTGGAGAGAGTTCCGGGGGTCAACGCCCCCGCGGCCCAGTCTGTGACCAGGCCTCCTTAGGTCAGTGTCCCAGGATGCGACCCACACCAGTCGACTAACACCCAGGTACCCATTTTACTGATGGGGAACATAGACAACAGGTGGAAAGAAACACGTCCAATGTTTCTACTCTGGCTGGGAATCGAACCCAGGCCCTCACCGTGTGAAGCGAGAGCGTTAACCACCAGGCCACCAGAACCACAAAACATTTTTGTAATGACTTTATTTTATTGTTTTATTTTGGTATTTCATGTTTTACTTTACTTTTTATGTTGTTAGTACTGTGTTTTATACTGTAAGGTTTAGGATAAACACTGTGTACAACACAAATACTGGTTTATTTCCCAGAAATTTGGCATAAAAAAACACGATCGTAAGTCGAGTGGTCGTAAGTCGGATGGTAGGTGTAAATGCTTCTCGTTGTGTAAAGCACATACACTGTACATTGTCCATAAAAGATAAGGTGACTTTGAAGCCGCTGTCAGTTACCATGAGCTCATCTCACTCAGATAAGCTGTGACCAGTAAATTTTGGCCTACATATGAGAGAATAGGTCTGTGTGGTAAGTGTGGTAAGAGGGGTTGTTGAGGTGGCTGAGAAGGGGTTGTTGAGGAGGGGTTGAGGTGGCTGAGGAGGGGTTGTTGAGGTGGTTGAGAAGGGGTTGTTGAGGGGTTGAGGTGGCTGAGGAGGGGTTGTTGAGGTGGTTGAGAAGGGGTTGTTGAGGTGTTGAGAGGGGTTGTTGGGGGTTGAGGTGGCTGAGGAGGGGTGGTTGAGAAGGGGTTGTTGAGGAGGGGTTGAGGTGGCTGAGGAGGGGTTGTTGAGAAAGGGTTGTTGAGGAGGGGTTGAAGTGACTGAGGAGGGGTTGTTAAGATGGTTGAGAAGGGTTGAGGTGGTTGAGAAGGGGTTGTTGAAGAGGGGTTGAGGTGGCTGAGGAGGGGTTGTTGAGGTAGTTGAGAAGGGGTTGTTGAAGAGGGTTGAGGTGGTGAGGAGGGTTGTTGAGAGGGTTGAGGTGGTGAGAAGGGGTTGTTGAGGGGTTGAGAAGGGGTTGTTGAGAGGGTTGAGGTGGCTGAGGAGGGGTTGGTTGAGAAGGGGTTGAGGGGTTGAGAAGGGTGAGGGTTGGGTGGCTGAGGAGGGGTGGTTGAGAAGGGTTGTTGAGAGGGTTGAGGTGCTGAGAGGGTTGTTGAGGTGGTTCAGGAGGGGTTGTGAGGAGGGGTTGTGGCTGAGGAGGGGTTGTTGAGGTGGTTGAGAAGGGGTTGTTGAGGTGGTTGAGAATTTTGAGATGGGATGTTGTTGAGTGGTTTGAGGGTTGTGAGGAGGGTTGAGGTGGCTGAGGAGGGTTGTTGAGGTGGTTGAAAGGGGTTTGTTGAGGTGGTTTGGACATTTATAGATGATGGATTGTAATAGGTTGACTAAAATGGCTTTACTGGGTTGGAGGGAAGGTGTGGTAGGGGTCGTCGTAGGACAGATTGGAGGGAGGGGGTAAAGGAGGTTTTGTGTGAGGGGTTTGGACATCAAACAGGCTTGTGTCGGCCTGTTAGATAGGAGTGGCAGCAAATGGTTTTCACGATTCATCATGCTGTTGGAGTGTGAGTAAGACAACACGGAGGGATTCAGGAAAACTGGTTAACTGGACTTGAGTCCTGGAGGTGGTAAGTTCAGTACCTACGCTCTAAATTCTAAAGGATTGGTTGGGATGTTACGGTTTGGAGTGTCAACATAATTGTGATGTCGGTGGCAACACAGTGATTGACAGTGAAAGTTTTTTTTTTTTTTTGATTCGGTGTACATCAGTGCGGGATGCCCAGTGTTAAAAAAAAATCTTGATGTTTTACTAAATGTATTCAAACTTTACATATTTTTTTTTTTTTTTTTTTTTTTTTTTTTTTTTATATATATATATTTTATACATATACAATATTCTGCAGAGAATTCACATTCATTTGGTAAAGATTAGCCAAGATGTGTAGATTTAATATTTACTTTAGTGACTGTGTTTTATATTTTTGGGTTAACCTGCCTCAAATACAAACTATTAATACGGTAGAATCCCCGTATCCACGGGGGATACCTTCCAATGACCTGCTGTGGATACCAAAGCTGCTGATAGTAGCAAACCCTATACATAAGTCTTTTTGATTTACACACATACCTATTATAAAGTTTAATTGATAAATTACGCACAGTAAGTGGAGGATTATTAATTTTGAATTTTTCACTGACGGGAAGCCCTTCACGGCTACTGGTAGGTTTTGAAGAACTGCCACCATCACTACTTTTGCACTTTCAGGCCGTTATTAAGCAAAATTAAGGTTTATTTTTTTGCCATGGTAAACCGTGGATAACTGATATTGTGATACCGGACCCACAGATACAAGGGTTCCACTGTACAAATTTAAAATTGTAGTATTGTGTATTTAGCTACGTCTTTTTTTGTAAATTTAAAAATGTTTACTTACTAGCATTAGCATTAGTCTGCCCAAAATGTATATACAAGCTTGGTAGCATGTTTACACTATCGTATATTGAGTGAGCAGTAGAGCTAGGCCTTAAAAATGCAAATATAGTAAAGTGGAACCTTGGTACTTGAACACCTCCATACTCAAACACTTCGGTATTCAAATGTTTTGTTTGGTAAACAAATCACTCATTAGCCTACTGTTTGCTCGGCACTCGACCAAACAAACTCGACATACCCAGAACTTCACTGTAAACTATTTCATGTTTCTTTGCACTTTTTGGTATTTTTATATTACAGTGGACCCTTAACCAGCGATGGCATCGATTAACGATAAATCTGATTAGTGATACATTTTATCACAAAAATTTTGCCTCGATTAGCGCTAAAATACTCGACCAACACTATTCGTTCCGTCTGAGACGCGTCCACTTCTGGCCAGTGTTTACAAGCCAGCCAGCCACCGAGGTCGCTTCCAAGCATACAATCGGAACATTTCATATTACCACAGCCTTTTTAGTGATTGCACCTGCAAAATGAGTCACCATGGGCCCCAAGAAAGCTTCTAGTGCCAACCCTACAGCAAAAAGGGTGAGAATTACTATGGATATGAAGAAAGAGATCATTGCTAAGTATGAAAGTGGAGTGCGTGTCTCCGAGCTGGCCAGGCTGTACACAAAACCCCAATCAACCATCGCTACTATTGTGGCCAAGAAAACGGCAATCAAGGAAGCTGTTCTTGCCAAAGGTGCAACTATGTTTTCGAAACTGAGATCGCAAGTGATAGAAGATGTTGAGAGACTGTTATTGGTATGGATAAACGAAAAAACAGATAGCAGGAGATAGCATCTCTCAAGCGATCATATGTGAAAAGGCTAGGAAGTTGCATGACGATTTAATTAGAAAAATGCCAGCAACTAGTGGTGATGTGAGTGAATTTAAGGCCAGCAAAGGTTGGTTTGTGAGATTTAAGAATCGTAGTGGCATACATAGTGTGATAAGGCATGGTGAGGCTGCCAGTTTGGACCAAAAAGCAGCTGAAAAATATGTGCAGGAATTCAAGGAGTACATAGACAGTGAAGGACTGAAACCTGAACAAGTGTTTAATGGTGACACTGACAATGTTGTGAAACACTTTAGGAATGTCATAAAGGAACGGGAGGTACAGGCCTCTATGGGCAGATATGTTGTGCGACAGAGGTCCAGTGACTCTCAAGCTGGTCCTAGTGGCATTAAAAGAAGAAGGGAAGTAACCCCGAAAAAGGACTTGCTACCTCAAGTCCTAATGGAAGGGGATTCCCCTTCTAAACACTAAGCCCATCAAAACACTCCCCTCTTCCCATCCCATCAATCATCACCAGATCTTCAATAAAGGTAAGTGTCATGTAACTGTGCATGTCTTCTTCAGTTTGTGTGTATTAAAATTAATATTTCATGTGTTAAAATTTTTTTTTTTCAATACTTTTGGGTGTTTTGCACGGATTAATTTGATTTCCATTATTTCTTATGAGGAAAATTAACTTGACTAACGATTATTTTGACTAACGATGAGCTCTCAGGAACGGATTAATAGCGTTAGTCGAGCAGTCCACTGTATTTGTATAAATAAGTCACCATGGGGCCTAAGAGGGTTAGTGATAATAGCCAACCAAAAAGAAAATTGGTTGTAAAAAGTTTGTGTCAGGGGCCCAAGACTGTTCAACTGCCCCCCAGCATACATAAGGGGGATTACCAATAGACCCCTGGCTGTCTTCAAGCTGGCACTGGACAAGCACCTAAAGTCGGTACCTGACCAGCCGGGCTGTGGCTTGTACATTGGTTTGCGTGCAGCCAGCAGTAACAGCCTGGTTGATCAGGCTCTGATCCACCAGGAGGCCTGGTCACAGACCGGGCCGCGGGGGCGTTGACCCCCGGAACTCTCCAGGTAAACTCCAGGTAAATACTCGAACAGATCAGCATCAAACAGCCTTCTGGAACCAATCAAGTTCGAGTACCGAGGTTCTGTTGTACACACACATTACTTACCTTAAAATATTTTCATTCCTTGCTTATAGTGAGTGGTGAATATATTGTAGGAAGTCTGAATACAGAAAGAATGGATATACAGTGGTGCCCCGGGCTTCATACATAATTCGTTCCAGAAGGCTGTTCGAGTGCCGTTACCAAACAAATTTGTTCTTATAAGGAATAATGTAAATTAGATTAGTCCATTTCAAACCCCAAAAATACACTTACAAAAGCACTTACAAAAATACATTTGCACAATTATTTGAGTTGGGAGCTGTACAAAACTCAGGGTACCACTGTAAGTGAAAACTACTGCAGTGGCAAAATGCTGTAAAATGAAGTTCTGTGAAGTGGGGTCTCCTTGTATATGTAAACTCCTGTATATCGCAGAATACAAATACGTAAATATTTTGTATTCACATTTTTCTCCAGATACCCAGATGGCACCGACGTTATGGGTTGGTACAAGTCTAGGCTCAGTTATACAAGTGATGGTGTCCATACCTCCTCCAGAAACTAGAGCAACGACTCCAGCAACAGTGTCGCCCAGTGGTAAGCTACTATGGGGGGGGGTTTGATGATTGTTCTCTGTAATGTTATTGTGCCTAGTGACAACCTGCTGTGGTGTATTGCTGTTCCAAATGTTAATACCAGGATTGTATTGTTCTTGCAACTGTGAATGTTAATTTATGCTCCTATTTGTCATTTCAGGAACCATTTTTCGGTTGAAAGGCACAGTACTGGCCATGTCTTTCCTCGACTGCAATGGGGCGCTCATTCCTTACCAGTATGAGTCGTGGAAAGATGCCAATAAGGAGAAGAAACTGGAAAGTACGTAACGAGTCGCCGTCTTTCATGTATATTTGTTAATACAGTACAGTGTCTGCACTGTGAAGGAGGGGTGTTAAATTTCATCTCCAAAGTATTTGCTCTTGCACCATCGTAAGGTTGAAATATCATAAATTGAACCATCGTAAGTTGAGGACCACCTGTAATAATAATAATACCGATAAATTAGACACATATGTAACTCTTGGGTATCTTTATTGAGGAAACGTTTCACCACACAGTGGCTTCATCAGTCCATACGTAGGAGAAACTTGAAGAACAGGAGGAGAATGAGGTAATCAGTCCCTCAACCTTGAGTCGATGTGTTCAGTCCATCAATCTTGAATAGAATACCTACAAAAATAATAATACCATATTTTCTGGCATATAAGGCTCGCTTTTTACCCCCCATAAAAATCAGCCTGAGCCTTGTGTACTCAAGGTGAAGGTCGAGGGATGGCTTAGGGTTACGCTATAGCAGTTGTTTACTAATGTTAAGTTACAACTGCTTTTAACCCTCAAACTGTCCAAGCATATCTACGTTCACATGTGTAGTGCTCCAAAAGTAGACCTACTTTTTTTTACATATTTTCAAATATAACCAAAAAAAAAAAGTAGATCAAAGTTTTTTACACGTTTTCAAATGTAAAAAAAAAAAAAATCTACTTTTTTTACATTCAAATGTTGAAAAAACATATATACGTTTGGACCGTTTACGGGTTAAACATCATATTATATGACTTATATAATCAGATGTTAAGTGAATGTATAGGAGCCTTTGAACCAAGTGAGAGAATATGAATGTGTAAATTCAAGAATTATGTGGATTAAAGTAAAGGTTGGATGCGAGAAGTGGGTCATAATAAGCGTGTATGCACCTGGAGAAGAGAGGAATGCAGAGGAGAGAGAGAGATTTTGGGAGATGTTAAGTGAATGTATAGGAGCCTTTGAACCAAGTGAGAGAGTAATTGTGGTAGGGGACTGAATGCTAAAGTAGGAGAAACTTTTAGAGAGGGTGTGGTAGGTAAGTTTGGGGTGCCAGGTGTAAATGATAATGGGAGCCCTTTGATTGAACTTTGTATAGAAAGGGGTTTAGTTATAGGTAATACATATTTTAAGAAAAAGAGGATAAATAAGTATACAAGATATGATGTAGGGCAAAATGACAGTAGTTTGTTGGATTATGTATTGGTAGATAAAAGACTGTTGAGTAGACTTCAGGATGTACATGTTTATAGAGGGGCCACAGATATATCAGATCACTTTCTAGTTGTAGCTACACTGAGAGTAAAAGGTAGATGGGATACAAGGAGAATAGAAGCATCAGGGAAGAGAGAGGTGAAGGTTTATAAACTAAAAGAGGAGGCAGTTAGGGTAAGATATAAACAGCTATTGGAGGATAGATGGGCTAATGAGAGCATAGGCAATGGGGTCGAAGAGGTATGGGGTAGGTTTAAAAATGTAGTGTTAGAGTGTTCAGCAGAAGTTTGTGGTTACAGGAAAGTGGGTGCGGGAGGGAAGAGGAGCGATTGGCGGAAGATGATGTAAAGTGAGTAAGTAAGGGAGAAAAAGTTAGCATATGAGAAGTTTTTACAAAGTAGAAGTGATGCAAGGAGGGAAGAGTATATGGAGAAAAAGAGAGAGGTTAAGAGAGTGGTGAAGCAATGTAAAAAGAGAGCAAATGAGAGAGTGGGTGAGATGTTATCAACAAATTTTGTTGAAAATAAGATAAAGTTTTGGAGTGAGATTAACAAGTTAAGAAAGCATAGAGATACAATTGGATGTGTGTCAGTGTATAATAAAAATAAGAGAAGGAAGTTATTAATGGAGGAGATTAAGTTAGAGGTATTGGTAAGATGGAGGGAATATTATGGAGGTAATTGTTATAGATGTAGTTGATGAAGATAGGGAAGCTGTGATTTCGTGTATAGGGCAAGGAGGAACAACATCTTGTAGGAGTGAGGAAGAGCCAGTTGTGAGTGTGGGGAAAGTTCGTGAGGCAGTAGGTAAAATGAAAGGGGTAAGGCAGCGGATTGATGGGATAAAGATAGAAATGTTAAAAGCAGGTGGGGATATAGTTTTGGAGTGGTTGGTGCAATTATTTAATAAATGTATGGAAGAGGGTAAGGTACCTAGGGATTGGCAGAGAGCATGCATAGTTCCTTTGTATAAAGGCAAAGGGGATAAAAGAGAGTGCAAAAATTATAGGGGGATAAGTCTGTTGAGTATACCTGGCAAAGTGTATGGTAGAGTTAGTATTGAAAGAATTAAGAGTAAGACGGAGAATACGATAGCAGATGAACAAGGAGGCTTTAGGAAAGGTAGGGGGTGTGTGGACCAGGTGTTTACAGTGAAACATATAAGTGAACAGTATTTAGATAAGGCTAAAGAGGTCTTTGTGGCATTTATGGATTTGGAAAAGGCGTATGACAGGGTGGATAGGGGGGCAATGTGGCAGATGTTGCAAGTGTATGGTGTAGGAGGTAGGTTACTGAAAGCAGTGAAGAGTTTTTACGAGGATAGTGAGGCTCAAGTTAGAGTATGTAGGAAAGAGGGAAATTTTTCCCAGTAAAAGTAGGCCTTAGACAAGGATGTGTGATGTCACCGTGGTTGTTTAATATATTTATAGATGGGGTTGTAAGAGAAGTAAATGCGAGGGTCTTGGCAAGAGGCGTGGAGTTAAAAGATAAAGAATCACACATAAAGTGGGAGTTGTCACAGTTGCTCTTTGCTGATGACACTGTGCTCTTGGGAGATTCTGAAGAGAAGTTGCAGAGATTGGTGGATGAATTTGGTAGGGTGTGCAAAAGAAGAAAATTGAAAGTGAATACAGGAAAGAGTAAGGTTATGAGATAACAAAAAGATTAGGTGATGAAAGATTGAATATCAGATTGGAGGGAGAGAGTATGGAGGAGGTGAATGTATTCAGATATTTGGGAGTGGACGTGTCAGCGGATGGGTCTATGAAAGATGAGGTGAATCATAGAATTGATGAGGGGAAAAGGGTGAGTGGTGCACTTAGGAGTCTGTGGAGACAAAGAACTTTGTCTTGGAGGCAAAGAGGGGAATGTATGAGAGTATAGTTTTACCAACGCTCTTATATGGGTGTGAAGCGTGGGTGATGAATGTTGCAGCGAGGAGAAGGCTGGAGGCATGGAGATGTCATGTCTGAGAGCAATGTGTGGTGTGAATATAATGCAGAGAATTCGAGTTTGGAAGTTAGGAGGAGGTGCGGGATTACCAAAACTGTTGTCCAGAGGGCTGAGGAAGGGTTGTTGAGGTGGTTCGGACATGTGGAGAGAATGGAGCGAAACAGAATAACTTCAAGAGTGTATTAGTCTGTAGTGGAAGGAAGGCGGGGTAGGGGTCGGCCTAGGAAAGGTTGGAGGAGAGGGGGTAAAGGAGGTTTTGTGTGCGAGGGGCTTGGACTTCCAGCAGGCATGCGTGAGCGTGTTTGATAGGAGTGAATGGAGACAAATGGTTTTTAATACTTGACATGCTGTTGGAGTGTGAGCAAAGTAACATTTATGAAGGGGTTCAGGGAAACCGGCAGGCCGGACTTGAGTCCTGGAGATGGGAAGTACAGTGCCTGCACTCTGAAGGAGGGGTGTTAATGTTGCAGTTTAAAAACTGTAGTGTAAAGCACCCTTCTGGCAAGACAGTGATGGAGTGAATGATGGTGAAAGTTTTTCTTTTTCGGGCCACCCTGCCTTGGTGGGAATCGGCCAGTGTGATAATAAAAAATAAAATAATAATCATGCTCGGTACATTCTGGAAAATAAAGTTATATTTTATTTCAGCGCGATACAGTGTATAGAGATGGTTGACATAAGCCAGTTTATTCGGGTATACACAAATACAGTTACATAGAATTATCATACATAGCAGCATATGTGTAGAGAACCTAGGATAACACAAAAAAGTCAGACAGAGTGACTTATTTCCATTAGAACATAGTTGTACATGCACAAAACCCATAGTTAAGTAGAGGATTTTGGGCAAACTTAAACCTAACTTAAGACTACACTGGTAATAACTAATTGATTATGTATAAGAACATTACTCCTTTCACTGTCCAGATGTCCCATCTGAAATTTGTCCGCACTGTCCAAGAATTTAAAAAAATAAATGATTTATTTTATGAAATGGAGAATCTTTTTCCAGGGGTAATAAAAAAAAATATGAAATTTGATGGAAAATTTATGAAATTACGCTTTTGCGAATTTTGCCGTGTCCGATATTTACGCATCGGTGATTTTGCCCACTTTGAATCCTGTTTTAAACCAATTACATTGTTCCAGTCGACCAAATTCTTAGCTATTTCGCTAGTATGTCTTCCATTTTATCAATTGAGCACAAGAAACTGCCCAATGAACTATTTCAGCTACCTAGTAAATTGATCAGAAATTTGTAATTTGACCAGTTTCATATAAATTTCAAAATATTTCAGTTTCAGAATAAACAGTTTCAGAATAAACAGTTTCAGAATAAACAGTTTCAGAATAAACAGTTTCAGAATAAACAGTTTCAGAATAAACAGTTTCAGAATAAACAGTTTCAGAATAAACAGTTTCAGAATAAACAGTTTCAGAATAAACAGTTTCAGAATAAACAGTTTCAGAATAAACAGTTTCAGAATAAACAGTTTCAGAATAAACAGTTTCAGAATAAACAGTTTCAGAATAAACAGTTTCAGAATAAACAGTTTCAGAATAAACAGTTTCAGAATAAACAGTTTCAGAATAAACAGTTTCAGAATAAACAGTTTCAGAATAAACAGTTTCAGAATAAACAGTTTCAGAATAAACAGTTTCAGAATAAACAGTTTCAGAATAAACAGTTTCAGAATAAACAGTTTCAGAATAAACAGTTTCAGAATAAACAGTTTCAGAATAAACAGTTTCTGAATAAACAGTTTCAGAATAGGGTTCTGAATAAACAGTGCAGGCATTACTGGCACTAAAATAACATTTACTCTGTTTATTAGTTTCATCTCCAGGCTTTACACATGAATTACATTTTGAATTTTCGTTCACACAAAGAATTTTTATTCTTACACAAAAATAAATGATTTACTGTTATGCAGTATTGTAATAATTGTATAGATATGATCAGTACATTTGTGAATGCATATTAGACCCACCAATTGGATGTGTATTGGACGGTGATGCCATTTGTTTACTCTTGAACATCGGCAAAAATCGAACATTTCCATTACTTTGAGCTCATTTTCAAGTTATTTTCAGTCCTGAAACCAGTCAAAATCATTTCTATTTCTGTGATATATCTTCTATCTTATCAAATGAGACCAAGAAACTGAGAATACAACTGTAAAAACCATACAAAAATACATCGCAAATTCGGTTTTAAACCAAACACACCGTCGCAGTTTTTTTTCTCATGCACTACTTGCTGCAGGATTTTTTTTTATATGGTTCACACTTACCACATAGACCCATTCTCTCATATGTAGGCCCAGATTTACCACTCACAGCTTATCTGAGGGAGCTGAGCTCATGGCATAGTACTACGGCATGGATATTGACCTCAAAGCCATAGTACTACAGCACAGACAATGACCTCAAAGCCGTAGTACTACAGCATGAGCAGTGACCTCAAAGCCATAGTACTAAGGTGCGAACAGTGACCTCAAATCTGTAGTACTACAGCACAGACAGTAACCTCAAAGCCATAGTACTACGGCACGGCCAATGAAAGGGTTAGTGGTGTATAAAAAAAAATTTAGCCAATATTGCCTTAAAGTGAATTCCCATTACACATTGCAGGAACACCAACAAAATCTCTGGTAGACAACAGAATGTCTCCGACAAACTCTGGAGAACAGACGTGGGGTGACCGACAGTTTGTTGTGATAGCATCAGAGAAGGTGGCCAGGGTGGTGGCCCTGCCCTCTCAGAACTGTGTGTACAAACAAATCATCACAGAGGTGTCTTTTGTGGTTAAGGCTGAGATTATACAAATTAAAGGTCAGTTTTTCTTGTATGTGATTTTAAGGTCAGTTTTCTTTAGATGTGAATTTAAGGTCAGTTTTCCTCAGATGTAAATTTAAGGTCAATTATCTCTTATACAAATTAAAGGTAATTTTTGTCAAGATACAAATTAAAGGTCAGTTTTCTCAGAGATGAAATGTGTTTTTATGATGGTGAGTAAGGACACAGGCGCAGTAGTTACAACACAACCTTATATTGACATTTCAGCCACCTACACCGACCTTTATCAAGTCACAGAGAAACCTGGATGAGTGTATATACAGGGAGCATAGTCAGGCGTAGAGTTGTGTTTGTTGAAGGATTTCCATGCCAGCCTTTGTCGGGCGTGGACAGTAAGTCCTTGACTTACAAACATGTTAAGAATTTTTTGTATTATGTATAATATTGTTATTATACACAATTCAGGAGGTCCCGGGCATGTTTGTAAGTTGAGGACTTGCTGTATCACTGACAAATTTCCCTTGTTCGTTTTGGAACGCTTGTCCTCATCCATTTTTGCCTGCTGGGCACATTACAGAAGGGGCGCCTTACTCTTAGCCAGCTCCATTTTTCCACTGCGGATAATTCCTTAAAGGATTTGGTAGGAAGCTGGTTACAGAGAATCCCCTACATATCAACATTCATGTTGCTAACTTTTGATAATATGAACAATTTGCCCTGGCCAATTTTGGCCAGACCAGTTTTGCTCTGGTCAACACCTTCTCACCATCTGTTTTATTAAATTTGTGTTATTTACTAACTTTATTATAGATATCATAAACTCTATTTCATTTATAACACGTTTACTAGTGTACAGTATTTATTTTTCTTGTGTTGACATATACAGCCTCTCCGCACTGATCTAACTGGGAACTTCTGGTTCCTGTTTGTATTTACAAAGGAACTCTTGTTTTTTTTATTTTATTATTATCACATTGGCCGATTCCCACCAAGGCAGGGTGGCCCGAAAAAGAAAAACTTTCACCATCATTCACTCCATCACTGTCTTGCCAGAAGGGTGCTTTACACTACAGTTTTTAAACTGCAACATTAACACCCCTCCTTCAGAGTGCAGGCACTGTACTTCCCATCTCCAGGACTCAAGTCCGGCCTGCCGGTTTCCCTGAATCCCTTCATAAATGTTACTTTGCTCACACTCCAACAGCACGTCAAGTATTAAAAACCATTTGTCTCCATTCACTCCTATCAAACACGCTCACGCATGCCTGCTGGAAGTCCAAGCCCCTCGCACACAAAACCTCCTTTACCCCCTCTCTCCAACCTTTCCTAGGCCGACCCCTACCCCGCCTTCCTTCCACTACAGACTGATACACTCTTGAAGTCATTCTGTTTCGCTCCATTCTCTCTACATGTCTGAACCACCTCAACAACCCTTCCTCAGCCCTCTGGACAACAGTTTTGGTAATCCCGCACCTCCTCCTAACTTCCAAACTACGAATTCTCTGCATTATATTCACACCACACATTGCCCTCAGACATGACATCTCCACTGCCTCCAGCCTTCTCCTCACTGCAACATTCATCACCCATGCTTCACACCCATATAAGAGCGTTGGTAAAACTATACTCTCATACATTCCCCTCTTTGCCTCCAAGGACAAAGTTCTTTGTCTCCACAGACTCCTAAGTGCACCACTCACTCTTTTTCCCTCATCAATTCTATGATTCACCTCATCTTTCATAGACCCATCCGCTGACACGTCCACTCCCAAATATCTGAATACATTCACCTCCTCCATACTCTCTCCCTCCAATCTAATATTCAATCTTTCATCACCTAATCTTTTTGTTATCCTCATAACCTTACTCTTTCCTGTATTCACCTTTAATTTCTTCTTTTGCACACCCTACCAAATTCATCCACCAATCTCTGCAACTTCTCTTCAGAATCTCCCAAGAGCACAGTGTCATCAGCAAAGAGCAGCTGTGACAACTCCCACTTTGTGTGTGATTCTTTATCTTTTAACTCCACACCTCTTGCCAAGACCCTCGCATTTACTTCTCTTACAACCCCATCTATAAATATATTAAACAACCACGGTGACATCACACATCCTTGTCTAAGGCCTACTTTTACTGGGAAAAAATTTCCCTCTTTCCTACATACTCTAACTTGAGCCTCACTATCCTCGTAAAAACTCTTCACTGCTTTCAGTAACCTACCTCCTACACCATACACTTGCAACATCTGCCACATTGCCCCCCTATCCACCCTGTCATACGCCTTTTCCAAATCCATAAATGCCACAAAGACCTCTTTAGTCTTATCTAAATACTGTTCACTTATATGTTTCACTGTAAACACCTGGTCCACACACCCCCTACCTTTCCTAAAGCCTCCTTGTTCATCTGCTATCCTATTCTCCGTCTTACTCTTAATTCTTTCAATAATAACTCTACCATACACTTTACCAGGTATACTCAGCAGACTTATCCCCCTATAATTTTTGCACTCTCTTTTATCCCCTTTGCCTTTATACAAAGGAAACTATACACTGCTCTTGCCAATCCCTAGGTACCTTACCCTCTTCCATACATTTATTAATAATTGCACCAACCACTCCAAAACTATATCCCCACCTGCTTTTAACATTTCTATCTTTATCCCATCAATCCTGGCTGCCTTACCCCCTTTCATTCTACTCACTGCCTCATGAACTTCCCCCACACTCACAACTGGCTCTTCCTCACTCCTACAAGATGTTATTCCTCCTTGCCCTATACACGAAATCACAGCTTCCCTATCTTCATCAACATTTAAAAATTCTCAAAATATTCCTCCATCTTCCCAATACTCTAACTCTCCATTTAATAACTCTCCTCTCCTATTTTTAACTGACAAATCCATTTGTTCTCTAGGCTTTCTTAACTTGTTAATCTCACTCCAAAACTTTTTCTTATTTTCAACAAAATTTGTTGATAACATCTCACCCACTCTCTCATTTGCTCTCTTTTTACATTGCTTCACCACTCTCTTAACTCTCTCTTTTTCTCCATATACTCTTCCCTCCTTGCATCACTTCTACTTTGTAAAAACTTCTCATATGCTAACTTTTTCTCCCTTACTACTCTCTTTACATCATCATTCCACCAATCGCTCCTCTCCCTCCCGCACCCACTTTCCTGTAACCACAAACTTCTGCTGAACACTCTAACACTAATTTTTAAACCTACCCCATACCTCTTCGACCCATTGCCTATGCTCTCATTAGCCCATCTATCCTCCAATAGCTGTTTATTATCTTACCCTAACTGCCTCCTCTTTTTGTTTATAAACCTTCAAACCCCTCTCTTCCCTGACACTTTTTTTTCTCCTTGTATCCATCTACCTTTTACTCTCAGTGTAAGCTACAACTAAAAGTGATCTGATATATCTGTGGCCCTCTATAAACATGTACATCCTGAAGTCTACTCAACAGTCTTTTATCTACCAATACATAATTCCAACAAACTACTGTCATTTGCCCTACATCAAAGTCTTGTATACTTATTTATCCTCTTTTTCTTAAAATATGTATTACCTATAACTAAACCCCTTTCTATACAAAGTTCAATCAAAGGGCTCCATTATCATTTACACCTGGTACCCCAAACTTACCTACCACACCCCCTCTAAAAGTTTTCCTACTTTAGCATTCAGGTCCCCTACCACAATTACTCTCTCACTTGGTTCAAAGGCTCCTATACATTCACTTAACATCTCCCAAAATCTCTCTCTCTCCTCTGCATTCCTCTCTTCTCCAGGTGCATACACTCTTATTATGACCCACTTCTCGCATCCAACCTTTACTTTAATCCACATAATTCTTGGGAAATTTTCACATTCATATTCTCTTTTCTCCTTCCATAACTGATCCTTCAACATTACTGCTAAACCCCTTCCTTTGCTCTAACTCTCTCAGATACTCCAGATTTAATCCATTTATTTCCCCCCACTGAAACTCCCCTACCCCCTTCAGCTTTGTTTCGCTTAGGGCCAGGACATCCAACTTCTTTTCATTCATAACATCAGCAATCATCTGTTTCTTGTCATCCGCACTACATCCACGCACATTTAAGCATCCCAGTTTTATAAAGTTTTTTCTTCTTCTTTTTTTTAGTAAATGTCTACAGGAGAAGGGGTTACTAGCCCATTGCTCCCGGCATTTTAGTCGCCTCATACGACACGCATGGCTTACGGAGGAAAGATTCTTTTCCACTTCCCCATGGACAATAGAAGAAATAAAGAGGAACAAGAGCTATTTAGAAAAAGGAGAAAAACCTAGATGTATGTATATATATATGCATGTGCGTGTCTGTGAAGTGTGACCAAAGTGTAAGTAGGAGTAGCAAGATATCCCTGTTATCTAGCGTGTTTATGAGACAGAAAAAGAAACCAGCAATCCTACCATCATGCAAAACAGTTACAGGTTTCTGTTTCACAGTCATCTGGCAGGACGGTAGTACTTCCCTGGGTGGTTGCTGTCTACCAACCTACTCTTGTTCTTGTTTGTATTTACAAAAGGAACTCTTGTTCCTGCTTCTGTTTACAAAGGAACTCTTGTTCTTGTTTGCATTTACAAAAGGAACTCTTGTTCCTGCTTCTGTTTACAAAGGAACTCTTGTTCTTGTTTGCATTTACAAAAGGAACTCTTGTTCCTGCTTCTGTTTACAAAGGAACTCTTGTTCTTGTTTGCATTTACAAAAGGAACTCTTGTTCCTGTTTCTGTTTACAAAGGAACTCTTCTGTTTTTTTTCACGGCCCAGCTTTTGGGCAACAAGTCTCCCCATACATAAAGAAATTGGGAAATTGGGTTCAGTGCAGCTTACGCTGCATTGAACCCTGATCAACTCAACAAAGAAAGAAGTGTGTTGAGGTTTAATGCTCATGTGTTTTAAAATTGGTTAGAGAACTGTGTATGCTCCTCTATGGTTCTCTGTGACCCGGATAAGTCTACACTTGGGCAAGATGTTGTCATTGAAGAATTGTCCTGTACTGTTTTTGTGACTTTATCCGTCACTCCTCTATGCGACACTATCGTCTATGCGACACTATCGTCTATGCGACACTAGTGTCGCATAGAGGAATGACTTCTGATGATGGCATTGCTTAGAGAAGTGACGTCTGACAGTGTTGTTGCTTAGAGAAGTGACGTCTCATACTGGTGTTGCTTAGAGAAGTGATGTCAGACAGTGGTGTTGCTTAGAGAAGTGATGTCCGACAGTGGTGTTGCTTAGAGAAGTGACGTCTCATAGTGGTGTTGCTTAGAGAAGTGACATCTGACACTGGTGTTGCTTAGAGAAGTGATGTCTAACAGTGGTGTTGCTTAGAGAAGTGACATCTGACAGTGGTGTCGCTTAGAGAAGTGACATCTGACACTGGTGTTGCTTAGAGAAGTGATGCCTGACAGTGGTGTTGCTTAGAGAAGTGAAATCTCAATTTATCAGACTAAGAGGGAAAGGATATCCTCTAAAACATAAGAAAGGAGGAACACTGCAGCAGGCCTACTGGCCCATGCTAGACAGGTCTTTCTCAAATCCATAGCAAAAATATTTTCCCCGTGTAAATTTGTTTTTTTAAGCCCTTTAGCATTCCAAGACCCCATTATAGGCCCACATTTGGGAAGGTTTCAGAGCTCTAATTGTACATACAGTGGTACCTTGAGTTATGAACTTAATTTGTTCCAGAAGGCTGCTCGAGTGCCGATACCGAATGAATCTGTTACCATTAGGAATAATGTAAATTAGATTAGTCCGGTTCAGACCCCCAAAAATACACTTAGAAAAGCACTTGCAAAATTACACTTACATAATTGTTCGAGTTGGGAGCTGTACGAAACTCGAGGTACCACTGTAGGGAACCTCTTGTTATCCTCAAGTAACTAATCAGATAGTTCTGGTTAGGGGCATTTCTATGGAAAATAGCACCTAAGGCAAGCACTGAAATTGCACCCCTGTCCAAACATCAGACACCCATCTTTTAAATAAGTTTACCATAAAATTAACTAAAACATACAAATCAAGCTGGTTAATCTTAATTTACAAATTATGGCACTACATGAGAATTACAACTGCACCTTCCTTGCTTTCACTGATGCAAATTGGTGTATGATGTGCCCCCCCCCCCCCCACCTTTTCAAGTGGCACCCAGGGCATGTGCCCTCCCTGCCATACCTTGGGTATGCCACTGGTTCTTACATCTTCCCAGAAAGAGTGAGAAGATGTGATTCACAGTAGTTTCAGACTTGGGATCAGACAGCTCGCAATCACTCATACAAAATAAACAAAAATAAGCAACTTTATCTCCATGGGGAAGTGGAACAGAATTCTTCCTCTGTAAGTCGTGCGTATCATAAGAGACAACTGACATGCCGGGAGCAAGGGGCTAGTAACCCTTTCTCCCGTATACATTACTAAAGTTAAAGAGAGAGACTTTTGTTTTTCTTTTTAGGCCGCCCCGCCTTAGTACGATACGGCCAGTGCATTGAGAGAAGAAGCGGCAGCTTTGTATTTTCTCTGCAGTACACAAAATGTAGTTTACATGTAATACAGTGGACCCCCGGTTTACGATATTATTTCATTCCAGAAGTATGTTCAGGTGCCAGTACTGAACAAATTTGTTCCCATAAGGAATATTGTGAATTAGATTAGTCCATTTCAGACCCCCAAACATACACGTACAAACGCACTTACATAAATACACTAACATAATTGGTCACATTGGGAGGTGATCGTAAAGCGGGGGTCCACTATATTGTTAAGCACAAAAGTCAATAGCATGAGATTCTTTTCACGCAGACTAATCCTAATGCTTGAAGACTACTTAATAAACTAGATTTAAGTTATTAAGTAGGAGTTTTTAAAATGTACAAAAAGTGAGTGTAGATGATGAGGGTAACTAAAAAAAAAAAATCCGAGAAATGAATGAGTTGCCCCCAGTGCAGCGGTGGGTAATGTTTTGCTTTTAAATGAAAATAAAAATGTTTATTTCCTTGCAAAGAATACAATACAGTGGACCCCCGGTTAACAATATTTTTTTCACTCCAGAAGTATGTTCAGGTGCCAGTACTGACCGAATTTGTTCCCATAAGGAATATTGTGAAGTACATTAGTCCATTTCAGACCCGCAAACATACACGTACAAACGCACTTACATAAATACACTTACATAATTGGTCACATTCGGAGGTGATCGTTATGCGGGGGTCCACTGTATGTGGTTTACATATTACAAAATTTTATTTACAAAGTAAGCCACTAGCATACCTAGGCATTTTGGTCAGACTAATTCCTACTATAACAGAAAGACCCCAGCAGTTGTGTACGAGCAGAGTTATATTAGTGCTTGCCCCTCTCCCCCACAGACAGTGTTTGTCTGGTCTGTTACATCGCCACGGGACATATTTCCGTCTTCAGTTTGCCGAGTTTGCGTCAGTTGATCTACGTTGACTTCCTGCCTCTCGTTGATCTCAGGTAAGTGAAGACTCTCCACAGCAGTGGTAACTAACTCAGTGCTCTTACCTTATCAACCTTTTCAGTGTTTTTAATTTATTTTGGTATAAATTACAGTATATATACATACTGTGCAGGATGTGTGTGTATGTTGTTTATATTATAAAATATATATATATATATATATAATATATATATATATATATATATATATATATATATATAATATATAAATGTATATGTGTGTGTATATACTGTAGTATATAAACTTATAGAATTATATAAAGTTTTATTTTCTTGGTTTAGTTAAGTGAAATTAGAGTTTTAAGATAAAACTTGCATCTCTTTCTTTTAAAATATAGACTCAAGAAAGCTGTCTGTGGCTGTGTGTGTCTGGCTAACAGATTTTTGGTTTATTTTCTATACCATTTTTGTTTTTGTTTGAACCTAAATTAGTGCATATGGCTTTCTTGCCTCTACTAATGTCAGCACTAGAGAATAGTCGAAGTTAAATTTGTTTTTTAACACAGAGAATGTATTTTGGCGACCATAGAGTAGATATGTATAAATATATATCTTTTGCTTAGTGTCATATATAGTTCTTCCATTAATGACCGTGTGAGTATCACAGGTTTAGCAACACTTGTATGGGTAAACTGATTACCAGACTGGGGTTTGAATCATGGTCCTTATATGTGGCCGGCCTAGGGCTGTGGCCACTGAACTGCCAGGGTTCCGGCCACTGAACTGCCAGGGTTCCAGTCCCCGCTCGGTATTCTCTTTATTCATTGACAGTCGTTCATTGCGACTTATCTCGGGTCCACACACAAATATCAATAGACCTACACAACCAGAATTGTCTCAACATTTTTCAATACCCACTCACAGTTCTCCCAGAGTTGTATTATACTGTGTGTATTTTCTAGTGCCTCCCACGAGATGTATGGAACTCATTCTCAAAATTTTTAGTAGATTGTTTTGCAGAATTAATTTTTTTTCGTTTTTTCATGTTAATGTATATTTTGTGCAATTTTTCGCATAAGGTTTTTGAGTTCGTATTATAACCTAGTTTTGTTTTTATTTATATTTTTAGATCCCCCTTATGATAGTTCTACATTTTTAGATATTTTGTTTTTTTGAGGCAGTGAATAGGCAAATCCAATGTAAATTTTGAGATTCATGCTAGTTATTTTTTCTGGTTTGAAGTCAGTTGAGTGTATATAACTTAGTATTGTGAAGACCATCAAGTCGTCAATGATATTCACTCAAGTTAAGTAACTAATTTCTTATATTTATTGATGTCCTTTGTAGATTTTCAGTTTCACATCGTAAAACTTTTCTTCAGTGTTCTGTAAAGACATTTCTTATAGTTCAATTTGTATATAGAGTGTATAGGCTGTTTAGACTTCTGCCTCAGCCATTAAAAATATCACTTTCATTGTGTCTGGTACAGTAAATCATTATTTATCATAATTCTTAAGATTAAGTCAGTTTGCATCTCTCGATTTTTTAATAACAAATATAGACATCAGACTACATTCAGTGTCTTGCCTGGCTATGTCACCTGAGCTGCAAAAGTACCACATATCAACACGCGTGTTGATAAGTCAACACGCGTCTTTGTAAGACTCTGATGGAGATTTTTTCTAGGTGACACGCTTGCCTGCAAGAGTGTGGGTAATTTCTCGAGTCATCACGTACGTTCGGAAGATTATATAACATTTTTTCTATTATCACATATGTTTGGAAGATACGAGAATAATTTCTCGAGTATCACGCATGTTCGTGAAATATTAATGAGAGTTTCTCATTTTGAAACAAGATCAAAAAAATAAAAAAATTTTGGTCATACTTATCAGCAAATCACAGTTAACTTAAATTTGAGATATTATTAGATGAGTAATAATAGTTCATCTAGAGGAAATGGCGAGTCAATTCCCTCATAAAGCTCCTCTGCATATTGTGATTTTCTTAAAAGCTTTTGAGAGAGTAAGAGTGTATCCTGAATTCCACCTTAAAAGGCTTTGAAAGTACAGTAGTGCCTCCCCCCCATATCCATGGGAGATATGTACCAAGACCTGCCGTGGATACCTGAAACTGCGGATAGTAGCGAACGCTATGTATAAGTTGTTTTTTGTTTACGTACACACCTATGATGAAGTTTAATTAATAAATTGTCACTTTTTCACTGATGGGAAGCACTTCACAGCTTCTCTTGGGCTTTGAACAATTCCCACCATCACTACTTTTGCACTTTAGGGCCGGTATTAAACAAAATTAAAGGTTATTTTTGGGTCAGGGTAAACCGCAGATAACTGAAACAGCGGATAACCTGCACATAGAAAAAAAACCTGTGACAGTGTTTTGGTTCAACTTGGTCCATTAAATGGTCCAGGTCGGTCTGAAATGTCATGAGTTTCAGTCGCCCGTGTGCGGGTTATTGCACAGTATTGTGCCTTTTTACACTTCATATGCTACTCATTTTGGAGAGCACTTTTTTAATCACATTTGCAAAAGATTTGCACCATAAAGAGGAGCTTTATAATAGCTGACTGGAATTTATAGCTGATGAGATACACTTGCAACCTCTCAGTATTTTAAGTCTTTACTGCTTACTGTCAGTTGTATTTCCTTAGATAACTAGACTTTGGTTTTTGTTTTTAGGTCATCCTGCTTTGGTGGGATATGGCCGGTTCGTTGAAAAAAAGAATTGGACTATAGTCATGCGCCGCAAAATGATGTTTCAGTCAATGATATATAGCGGTGGTGTAAAGAATCCTACTGCGCTGTACTGTACAATTATGTACAGTACTTAATACTTAACAGTGATGATAAACAACTATATTACTGCTCTATGTATTTACTTTTTATTGTTAATTCTAGAGCGTACTCTTTCTATTTATAAAAACAAGTTTAGTGTAAAAAAGTAGGGGTGTTACGCCGGCAGCATCCTCATACATCTCATGTTTACTGCATCTCTCGATAGCATCATTTTTTCTCATGCTGGTTTTAATCTTGTGTTATGTTCATCATGGCTCCCAAGTCATAATAAACATGCTGTACAGATTTGTAGCCTAGGAACACTAGGCTGTATACCATATAGCCTAGGTGTGTAGTAGGCTATACCATCTAGGTTTGTGTAAGTACACTATGACGTTTGCACAACCACGAAATCGTCCAACAATGCATTTCTCAGAATGTATCCCCATTGTTAAGCAATGCATGACTGTATTGCAATTTTGTATTGTTTCAGGACTGACTGAAACAAAGATGATTTACAGTGCCTCTCAGATTTGAGGTTAAGTTGTGGATTGCTCCGGTCATGATATTGTGACCGTACTTGTTTATTCATCAGGATCAAATATCACTTCCAGTGGTATTCAATACTGTGGCTCAGGTGACATCATGGGTGTTGATTCTGTTAACCTTAGACTTGTGAGCATATGCTTGCTTCTCCTCAACTAATTCTTCAACTGTGGGGCAGTGAACTTAACAAATATTAATTTTCAAGTTTGTTAAAATCTGATACAGTAAACCTTCAATGTAACGGACTTCTGAGATAACAGACAAAATTTTAATAATAATAAATTCACTGAATAAATTATACTTTGAACTCCTTTATTTTCAATGTTCAGTGTATGTACAGTACTGTATAAAGTGTACAGTACTGTATAGTGTACAGTGCTGTATAAAGTGTACAGTACTGTATAGTGTACAGTGCTGTATAAAGTGTATAGTACTGTATAGTGTACAGTGCTGTATAAAGTGTACAGTGCTGTATAGTGTACAGTGCTGTATAAAGTGTACAGTACTGTACTTCAGCTTTTCCTGCCACTTTTTAAGATTATTCTGATTTAACGAACACTTGGACGCTCCCCCCCCCCCCATTAGTGCGTAATATCGAAAATTTACTGTATTCTGCCTTATTTTTTATTCTAACATGTCTTACCCCATGTGAAGTTGAAAATGGAGTGTTAAGCATGTGCTTAGGAAAGATCAATTGAGGGCACACACTTGTTCTACCCCCAAACACTTAATGCTACAATCTTTTCCCTTACACATAGTTTTCAGACGAGGAAGACTGGCATAGTTGACCCCATGCTGTCTATTTGGGGTCAGCAAATGTTCGTTAATGAAGATACAGACCAGTAAGTCAACACACTACACTCCGGTTCAGAAAAGCACATCTTGAAATTTTTAACTATTCAATTAAGGACTATAACAACATAATGATTTTGCAAATCATCTTAATTTTCTCAGTTATAGGAAGGCACACATATGCAAGACCTCTTTTCAGTGTTCCACATTTTTGTTTAGCTTCAAATTGAACCATTGTTTGGTATGTTGCACCCGCCGGCGATTGTCACCGGTGGGTGGAACAATGACTTAATTGAAACTCAATGAAAACATGGAACACCAAAGAGGTGCTGTATAGGAAGGGCCCTCCTGTATATGAGGGGCCCTCCTGTATATGAGGGGCCCTCCTGTATATGAGGGGCCCTCGTGTATCTAATTAAGAACTACAATGACATAACAAATTTCAGAGAAGTTGCAGGTCATTATCCTACATTATGTTGTATAGTGATGTATCTGGCGAGGTTTTTAATGGTGTTCGCCGACTTTTTGAAGATGTGAGTTTCTGATGACACAGGCTGTGCATGTTTAAAGGTCTTCTGAATGGGATTTAATCCTAAAATTTTTATTTTTTTAACTACACATTCCTTTGGGACTGGAATTTTTAAACGTTCTGGAAGGCTGTGGTTATTGAAAAAGAATTTAATTTAAAATTTGTGTTCTTAATTTCAATAATTTAGATCTGAGAGAAAGGGAATTTCTTTAAGATTATATTTAAAGAAAGTTATTTTTTAAAGTAATGTAGATTTTCTTAATGATAAAATGCCATCTTTGCAAGACAATAGATTAAAAAAAAGTTATTTTTAAAGTAATGTGGATTTTCTTACAGATTAAAATATAATCTTTATAAAGTCAGTATCTATAGAATATGCTCTAGCCTCTAAGACGAAAATAATATTGATAATATCAGTCGCCACCTCATTTACCAACTGTCCATTTGAGAGCTCAGATACCTTGCTCAAAATGTGAAGCTCGGAAAGGAACTTTACCAGTAATATAACAAGCTTATTTTACCCTCATTAATAAAGCTCACATTGAAATAGCCAATTAAGATGCATGTATATTTCTTCAGATACACTGTACAAAGATGGGTGACATTTAGGCATGCATGCAGAAAGCCCCTTAATATGCAAAGCATTTCGGGCAAATTTAAGCTTATTTTAAGACTAGTAAGGCAATAACTAAGTGATTACTTATACATATGTTCTCTAAGTGACAAAATAATGTATAAAATAAAAAAAATTTTGTATTTCTTTGCTAAGGTTACAATGTGTGTTTACATTTCATAATTTGATCGGTACAAAGAAAGCCGCTATCATGCCGAGGCATGTCGGGCAGACTTAACAATTAATTTAGGAATTACAATGAACACGAGAAAATTAAATAGTATTAATACATGCTATATAAGATTTACCAAGTTCGTTTTAAGGATTACAGTTTGGCTTATGATTAAGGATTTTTTCATAACCACAGATCCTTGCAGTGTTGCACTCTGCATGCTTGCACCACCCTGCACTTGTATCTAGTAATATATTTTCCCGTAGATTAGATATGCCTTCATTGGCTTGGCTAAAATTCGACTGTTTAATGTGGTTGATGTTCATTTTTCTGTCTATTGTTTAATGTTACTGAGAGTGACCTTCATTTTGCACATTCTATTATGCAGTACATGTCTAATTACATTCTTTTAAGATTACTCACTATAGCACTTGGATACAGGGCCATGTACTGTATTCATTTTTTCACTGACCTAACTTGTCCAACCTCACCTGATCTACTCTAGCCTGACTCGACCTAGCCCAGGCCATCCTAACCTGACCTCACTTATCCCTCAGCTGACCTGACCTAACCCATCCTACCCTGACTTAACCTAATCTAACCCAGTGCAGCTTAACCTGACTTAACCTAACCTGACCCATCCTAACCTAACCTAACCCAGTCTAACTTAATCTAACCTAACCCAGTCCAGCTTAACCTAACCTAACCTAATCTAATCTAACCAAATTAATGTAACCCAAACCTAGCCCAGCCTAACCTAACCTAACCCAGTCCAACTTAATCTGACTTAACCAAACCTGACCTGACCTAACATTACCTAACCTAATGTAACTTAATCTAACCTAATCAAATCTAACCCAACTTAATGTAACCCAAACCTAACCCAACTTAATGTAACCCAAACCTAGCCCAGCCTAACCTAACCTAACCCAGTCCAACTTAATCTGACTTAACCAAACCTGACCTGACCTAACATTACCTAACCTAATGTAACTTAATCTAACCTAATCAAATCTAACCCAACTTAATGTAACCCAAACCTAACCCAACTTAATGTAACCCAAACCTAGCCCAGCCTAACCTAACCTAACCCAGTCCAACTTAATCTGACTTAACCAAACCTGACCTGACCTAACATTACCTAACCTAATGTAACTTAATCTAACCTAATCAAATCTAACCCAACTTAATGTAACCCAAACCTAACCCAACTTAATGTAACCCAAACCTAGCCCAGCCTAACCTAACCTAACCCAGTCCAACTTAATCTGACTTAACCAAACCTGACCTGACCTAACATTACCTAACCTAATGTAACTTAATCTAACCTAATCAAATCTAACCCAACTTAATGTAACCCAAACCTAACCGAACCAAACCTAACCCAGCCTAACCTAACCTAACCTAACCACAGCACCAGGATGCAGTGCACTGTATGCATTCTTTCACTAATTTAGCAGATCAATTGGATACAGTGTGTTGTATTCATTTCACTACTTTGCCATATTTTTCTGTATAATGGGGTCCCCAACTTACGAACGGACTGCGCTCCCTGTGGTTGAGCTTACGAATGAACACTTTGTAACCCCAAATTTACCACTCTTTAGAAAACGATTCAAGACACACGACTATTACTGCGACTCAGCGTTCATGAAAATTGTGGTGGAAGACTCGTTAGTATATACTTAGCACATATTGTTATGGAAATGTTTTTGGTTTTAGGACCTTGTTCAATTTACATTGAGTGAACCAGGTCCCAGAACCAAAACATTTCAGGACCATAGTATTTCCGAAATGTTTACAGTAAGTCCTCAACTTACGAACACGTTGCGAATCTTCTGTATTGTGTACATCATTATTGTGTTTAATGTTATTATACACAATACGTAAGGTTCTGAACATGTTTGTAAGTCGAGCACTTACTGTACTCATGTCTCTTGAACCACAATACGCCAGTATTGTATACCACGTTTTCATCAGTTGTAACTTTGTCTCAATTTCTAAAATAATTGATTTTTAGTCAAAATATTTAAATTTTAGTGGTGAGAAGGAAATAGTCCAAAAAATCGTAAATTAAAATAATTTTTTTTTTCTCTATTGAGCCGTACATCTTAGTTATCAAAACATATTTATAATATATATATTATTTGGTACAATAAAAGATATAATAGATATTTATAATATTTATAATATTTATAATACATATTTATAATAGATATATTATTTGGTACAATAAAAGGCTTGGAATCAAGTTAATAATAATACAGTTGTATTTTGGGAAAAATAATTATAAGAATTATAAGAACATGATATCCTGTATAAATTACTAAATATAAAAAGAGGAACTTTCATTTTTCTTCTTGGGTAACCTGCCTTGGTGGGATGCTGCCAGTTCATTAAAAAAAATACTATTTGTATCTAAATCTAGTCTATAATTTTAGTCATTATAAATCATCTAAATATTATATAACTTTAGTCACTATGTCTAAATCTAGTACAGTGGACCCCCGGTTAACGATATTTTTTCACTCCAGAAGTATGTTCAGGTGCCAGTACTGACCGAATTTGTTCCCATAAGGAATATTGTGAAGTAGATTAGTCCATTTCAGACCCCCAAACATACACGTACAAACGCACTTACATAAATACACTTACATAATTGGTCGCATTTGGAGGTGATCGTTAAGCGGTGGTCCACTGTATATAATTTATCACTATATCTATTATATAATTTTAGTCGCTATTTATATCTAAATCTAGTATATAATTTTTAGTCACAATATCTAACTAGTATATAATTTTTAGTCACTATATCTAAATCTAGAATATAATTTGATTAAAGTTGGTTACTAAATTACTCAAATAACTACAATGAGATGGATTGCAAACGAAGACCCGGACAGTCACAACCTGTGGACATCGTTCATAAGTGTTCATCGCCACTGAGTTCGTAAGCCAGGGACCCCAGTACTCCATGGAACATTTTTTGCCTTCATGTTTGGTTTTTCTCGATACGCCTTGTCAGGAGGAGAAAGGTTCCTTCCCGAAGGTAAAGGTTCTCTTGATCTCAATTGCATCGGTGTGTCGTAGTGTAAGGCCGTTCTCGCGCAGTGTGACCACAGCCAAAAATTTTGTTTCGAATGCCATTTAAATATTATATAATAGCCATTTGAGACATTTTAAAACTGTGATGTATTTTTCTACAAAAAACTATGTTAAAAATATGGTATGGTTAATATATATTTCAAGTTCCTTTAACCATTTATATATATTATATATATATATATATATATATATATATATATATATATATATATATATATATATATATATATATATATATAATATATATATATATATAAAATATATAAAAAATACAGGGTGTGTCAAAAGATGGATCCAATTGAAATTGGGTTATATTTTTGAAACACTCTGTTATAAGCTAAATATAAAATTTATGTAGTTGACTAAGGTTGGTTGAATTCTTATTAATTACAATGTTTATTTAGGCATAGTTTGTTTGAATAGTAATTTTGTATTAAGTCAGAAAAAATTGTCGCAGCTTCAATTAAGTGTTGATTATAAAAGTATTATAAGTATATCTTGTGGTCATTAACATGAATATATTTTGTATTTTGAGCTGAAGTTAGTGTGGGTGTACATGTGATGATTGTTTACGTGGGTGTACATGTGATGATTGTTTACGTGGGTGTACATGTGATGATTGTTTACGTGG